GTCAGATCCCTTTATTTTTAAACTTCTTTTGTAACGTTTTTATAAGTATTTCAATTCAGTATCTCTAGTGATATTGACCCTCTTCCTCAAAATTGTATTAGGACTTTCTTTTATCTTGCAACATATTTTTTAGAATTTTTGTCCAGAACGGGCTTTCTTCTCTCATTTTTTTAACATCCTTCACTTGATTTTTGTGGTCCTCTCCGATATTTTGTTTTAGTTTTGCAGTTTACTTCGATGTCCAGCACAATCAATTAACCTTTACGTATATCATCTTTCCTTGTCATAATATATTCTATGTGTGAGTAATTTTTTCCACTTGTGTATGTAGTAAGTTAAGTTTCTCTCTTTTAAAATAATGTGTTAACAATCGCCATATCTAATGCTGTTGCTAATTTAAGCATGTTATCTCCAGCTTCATTTCTAGTTCCAAAGTCTAGTCCTCCATGTATGTATGTATCTTTTATATCCTGTTTGGATTGGCTCACATGTGCATTAAAATCATCTAGTATGACTTTCTCCTCTAATGGAATATTATTCAGTATGTCTCTTAATTGATCATAGAAAGCTTTTCTTTTATAGGTACTCACCCACACCTTTTTGAGACGCATACACACACTCATAACATTCAATACTTCTTATTAAGTACAAATTTCACTGGTATTATTCTATTACTCTTACAACTTCTACAACGTTATCTTTAATTTCACTATCAGCAATTATACCAACTCCAATCCCAATGATATTTTTCCCTACATACTACAATTGTCCACCCAGTCTCTTGAATGCAAACAATTTGAACTCTGCTTTTTTATGCACGTCTACTAACTTCACACTCTACTAACTAAAATATAGTCATCACCCGGAAATCTGAATGAAGGCTCGGTTCCCTTCCGGAACATTTTACCTCAGGAGTTGCCATCATTTCATTCAGCATAATTTTTATTAAATAGAAATTATATCTTTTCATTTTTTTATGGCCTGAAAAGATTTTCGGACACCGAAGTGTTTCCCATTTTTATTGCCAGAAAGAATACTTGTTACCATTTTGTTTTTGTTAAGAATTGAACTCACATCATGTAGCACCAAATGCAGATGCACTTACCTATGAGGTATCACAGCCGATGATACTCTGTAGTTGAAAATTTGAATATGGTGATAAAAAATAAAGATAAAAACTATAATATAATATATTTCAAACTTCAACTTAAATAAATAATGAAATAGCAAATAACAGTTATATATACAAATTATTTACAAACATCATTCCAACAACACCTTGCTGGAACTTGACATTAATTATTATTTAGTACAATTACTTCATTTGTTTAATTTTTACCCGACTCTCAATATTGCATGGATGTTACAAAAAATATGGATATTGAAAAGATATCTTTTTTCATATTTCTGTAAATATTAGCTTTTTTTTATAAAATATTTCATATATTTGAAGAAAACATTTTTAAAGCACTTCCTTTAGTTACCGTAAATTAGAAAACTCACAAGACTTTTTCGGTTCCATCTTCATTCAAACGTGGTTAAAAAAACTATGTCCGACCTATAAACGACAGTTTGTAACCACGCATAAAGGACAGTTAAAAAGATAAAAGGCGTCTAAATGTGACATATATAGGTGCCAAAGATAAGACAATATAGGTTATTATATTAAAATAAACTTAAATAAAAGAATGACACTAGCTAACTTTGAAAGTAAGACCAAACGTGTAATCAGGGAAGCAGTAGAAATTGAAAAAAATCAAGAATTTTAAATGCAAGAGATGATGAGTAAAGACTCCCAACTACATAGAAACCAATTCAATAGAAAACCCAAGAAATTAAATTTACGAATAAAAGCCCGCTCACTCGCATGTGCACAGGACCGATCACAAGAAGGAAGCTATTTACGCGCAGCATGCAATGGCCTATACATATCGCCAGCAATCAGACTAGAGCTTAACCTGTTGAAACAACAACAATGGAGACTTGTTACCGCTGGACTGAGCTACCGGGACGGAGGTAAATTCTGGAAAAAATTCAAAATCGTAACTAGACATAAAATCCAACATCATTTATATTTCAAACACAACAATAAAATAATCACCAATCCACTAGACAAGGCTGAAATCTTCAAAGATACACTTTAAGTCACATTCATGACCCCTGAAAACCCAAATTTCGACTACGATTCCGTATAAAAACCGAGCGAAACATACAATACCTTCTTTCAAGACCAGAACCCCAAAGAAAGTTCAACTATCATGAGTTTATGGCCTTAATAGACCCCGAAACCGTCAGAAAACTGTGTAGCCTAGGCAAAAACACAACCCTTGGCTCTGATGGCATACACAGGATATGCCTCAAAAAACTTCCAGAAGCCATATTCCCGCTGCTTACCGAAACTATCAATGCCTGGCACCAGCTGGAATACTTCCCTACCCCTTATTGCTGCCTAGAGTATTTTTCTAAAATACTCTAGGCAGCATCTACGAGAGGCTTTTAAACGAAAAACTTGTAGAACACCTAAAAACATTCAACATCATTCTAAATTTCCAATTCGGATTCAGAGCTGGTCACTCCATACAAAATGCATTGATAGAAGCAGCAACCCAACAAAAATGCCGTATCCATTCCATTTTTGGGAATAATCCAATCTTAAGTAACCACTCGGACTATACGAGTCATTGTCGAATATCAACTATCCACCGCATTCACTCCTCTTGCACGACTAACTCAGGGCTCAATAATTGCGCCAATACTATATACAGTCTATAACAACGACCTCCCAACCCCACACAACACATTTGAGAGTATCCTGCTATACGCTGACGACACGGCCCTATTCTACTCAGGTATTCCCAGGCCGACAGTAGAGGTCGTTAGAGCACAAGCACAACTCGACAAAATAGTCGAATGGTGAACAAATGAAAAGTAACTCTGTTCATAAATCTCAAATGCTCCAGACTAGAGCCGAAACAACGAAACCACATAATGCTCAACGAAGAAAGCCTCGATTATAGACCGTCAGTGTTCTACTTTGGTGTCAGAATAGGACAGGTTAAGAAACAGAGTGAAACTCCTAACAGCACTATGTGGTAAATTTGGAAACACTAGTCAAGTTACTCTTCTACACACATATAAAATCTTCTTATGATATAATTTTCTGAGGAGAATTATGGGTAAAAACCACGACTTTCGTGTCGGAGGCAAACAGAGCAAAGGAGGTTTTTAAAAAAACCTGCCACCTACGAGGATATGTACTCACCATAATTCCAAAACTTTACGTTCCATTCTATCTGCTAAATTTATAAACATAGCAGATACCTAACCAACTTCCTGATGAGTACTGGAACGTATCAGAATCCATCCCAATAAAATATCGCAGTCATTAGTCGTTAGTCTGCACCTGCCAAAAAACAAAAAGAACCGAAACAGAAAAACCCTTAGGTTTTAGGAACGGAAAACTGTCTAATTGGTAACTGTATAGAATAGGCAATAAATTGTAAACGGTAACTTAGCCTTCTCCAACAAACAAAAAACAAACAAATTATAAATATAGCAAAAACCACCCATCTGAGCAAAAACTTCTAGCAAACCAACTACCAAAAACTCAGCTCCACCATATTTTCCAGCCCCAAACAACATTATTCCTCATCCCTCTACTGAGTCACCCTGCAACAAAAATAAGAGGGTAGCCATTCCTTGAAGAGGCGAAAGCTTATAACAAACTTATTATAACGTTAAACGGGCCTAGACATAAGTTCTCTTCAAACGTCAGGAAGAAGCAAAACTAATCTGACTTGACAATGGCAAGTGTGACCTTGCCAAAACGTCATCAAAATAATGGTTTTTATAAAAACCAAAATTATTTAACTCGTAATCAAACGCGTTAAAAGAAAAATTTAAAGAAAACAAAAGCTACCTTTCATTACAAAATTTATCAAAATTTTATATCTTTAAAGCTTATCAATATCTTTCAATCACATATAAATTACAACCTCTTACCCTACAAATCGACTTTTTGCTACAAATTACCTCCTACGAGATTTTTTAAACATTGACTAGATCAACCACCACTTTAAATATTTACAAAATTAACTAATTTCAAAATTATCTATAAATAAGGCTGGTATTAATTCACAAGAAAATCTTTGTTTAAGCTCCTCAAACATTTCTCCAGACTTCGAGCATTACGAAAATATGGAGATAATTATTATCATTTTTTTTTGTATTAATGTGTTTGTGTTTTTTCTGTTCTGTTTGTGTTTGTGTACAAATGTATCAAAGATATTAGATAAAGATCTTGCTTTAAAGGAGCCTCAGACTCTTGGCTCCTTTTTCTGATAAGGGTTACTTTATTTACTCCAAGTTTTTTCCTTGGTATTTTTCATAATATTTAAATTTCATTAGTATGTAAACAAATCCCACAGAAACTCTTCGATGAATTGATTGTTGGGACGTGACTGTGTGCATTCTCCTTATCTTGTTTAACTTTGACAAAAAGTTTTAACTGTAAAAATTGATGTTGCAAGTCGTTTTAAATATAATACATTTACACCTATGACTACAAATACTTTTTTAATATTGTTTGGTATATTTTTCTAATCAAATTTTAGTATCTATTAATCATATCCTTGAAAATGACCATAACAGCCAAACAATTCCTTAATTTGATATTTCGGCTTAGATGGCAAACCGTTTTCAAAGACTTTAGTAAGTAATTATTTTTTCGTTCGCTTTTTTCACATTTTAATTGAAAAAATCCTTTTTACAAAAACAAATGCTCAGATAGTTACGCTTATTCTAATATGAGTATGTGTATAGTTTCCACAAGAGATTTTTTTGTTCTACTCCTTGTTTTCTAGTCATCAATTCTGGTTTAGATTTAGTTGCCAATTTTTATATTTTGGCATAGTTTGTAAGGTAATTTTTACATACCTAAAATGTTGTAATGTAATAATAACAGCCTTTTTAGTTCTACCATGACTAGCAATACCGAAGAGTTACTTTTTAAACGGTGGTTCTAACTGGATAGATGGCTTGAATGCTCTTTCGTGTTGCTGTGAAGCTTCCTGCTGATTGTCCTGTTCATATCCTCTGTTGAAACCCGGATGGTTTGGTAGATGTAACGGAAACTGGACGTCAGTTTGACCTGGCTGGATGAAACGGCCAGCTGGTTGAGGGTAGGAGTAACCTTGGTCTTCATTTTGATTACCTAAAGAAAATATAATGAATGTATAATGAACATTTGTATACGAAACTCATCTGGGACGTGAACTAATTGTTCCCTGATTTGATAATACACAAAATATAATAAATTGTATTAGTGAAATAAGTGAATTCAATAAGTTCAAAAGTCACTAAATTGTTTCCTAAAAATGTTCTGAATAAGACTTTTTAGATGATTTAAGACGTTTATTGCAAATACATGAGCAAAAAAGGAGAATAAGGTATAATTTTAAATAAATCAAATAAAGAAGGAACAAACAACCTACAAATCTATTATGAATAGAATAATGTAAAGAATACCGTTGTGATAAGTACAGTTAGCAGCTAAGCGAGAGTTGTAAATATCATGAAAACTGAAAATATGCCAAATCGGAATATGATAAAGAAGAAGGGACATTAGACAAAACATTGTTTGAATTATGAAATATTAAATCAAATATTAGAAGACCACTTCTTCTTCTTTAGATGCTATGTCTGTATTCAGACGTTAGCCATCATCATGTTTATAATTTTCTGAAACCATGTAAGTTTCTTTCGACCAATATATATCTTTCCTTTAACTTTTGCTTGTATTGTAAGACGAAGACAAAATATATTGTATATTTTTTAATTACAAATATATACAACAAGGCAACAACAACTATTAAGCTAATGAAACAAACGGAGCCTATTAAAATAAACCGAGAGTAAGAGAAGGAGATACCATCTCGTCCAAGCTATTCAACCAAGCGCTAGAAGATGTTTTCAAACAACTACACTGGGATGGCTTGGGAATTAACATAAACGGGCAAAATCTGAATCATTTACGATATGCTGAAGATATTGTATTATAACAGAAAAAGTGAAGAATTACAAAGAATGATGGAAGAACTAGATAGAGAATCGACAAAAATTGGACTCAAGGTGAATTACAGTAAAACAAAAACCATGACTAATCAACCAGAAGAACTAATAATTACAGTGGCACAAACAAGAACAGAACAAGTAAAGTATATATATATATATATATAATATATATATATATATATAAATATAGATATATATATATATATATATATATATATCTAGGCCAAATCACTAAATTAAATAAAGAAAATCAGACCGAAGAAATAAAGAGAAGAATAAGATTGGCCTGGGCATCATTTGGAAAACTGTGTTATATTCTAAAGAATTCAAAATACCCCCAATACCTAAAAACGAGAGTCTTCAATCAGTGTATACTCCCTGTACTCATATATGGCTCTCAGACATGGACGTTTACAAAGGAAAATATGGAAAAAATAGCAAAGACAGAAAGATCCATGGATAGACAAATGCTGAACATTAAACTATCAGACAGAAAAAGAAACGAATGGATCCGTAATAAAACAAAAGTGACAGATAACTTAACCCAAGTAGCAAAGCTTAAATGGAAGTTCGTCGGACACACCCTAAGGCAGAAAGATGAAAGATGGGCTAAGACAATTATACATTGGAGACCATGAATCACAAACGAAAAAGGGGAAGGCCACAAATGCGATGGTCAGATGACCTGAAGAGACACGCCGGGTCAAAATGGATGCAAATTTCCCAAGATAGAGAGGCATGGAAGAAGGAGGAGGAGGCCTATATCCAAGGATGGATGTTTAGGGCTGTATAGATAGATAGAGAATTATATGTGGCGTTCATCATTTTAAAAATATCTTCATTGAATTACATAAAACTGGTTTCCAGGTCATAAAACCTTACGTGATATTTAACCACCTGCCGAGTCATTTAAAATGGTTTACGTATCTATCTCCTCTCCATTAAGTGAAAGCAAACCTTGATCTATATTAATCAACCAACCACTATCCACTTTCACTAACTAGATTTACTAATATTTGGAGATCTTGTAAATTTTCTATAAGAACGGCTATATCGTCAGCGTACCTTATGTTGTTGATTACTTCTCTACCTAGTCTTACTCCCTCTTGTCTATCATCTAAAGCCTCCCTAAAGATTTCTTCAGAGTACAGATTAAAAAAACTGGGTGACAAAACACAACCCTATCGTACTCCACGTTTTATGAGTAGTTTTTCAGTATGGCTATCTCCAATATTGGTGAAGTACTGCTGCCCGCAAAAGATCACTAATACGACATAAATTTTCACGTTAATAGCAGACACCTTTATCCAACAACTGAGATGTATTAGACGACAAAATGAGCGACCATTTAAAGCAAATTCAAGCGTTATTTGAAACTCTAACTCACCTATTTGAAACTGCCCTTCTCTAAAGAACTGTTGACTGCTAACTTGATGCGCCAGTTGATACCTGTTGTCTTCTTGGGGGTTTGGGTAATGGTCTTGTATATTAGGAGTATCTTGTTGGAATTGATTAGGATAGCCATTGAACTGAGGTTGACCCTGGCCTTGTGGTACTTGTTGATTATAACCATTTTGACTTCCATCGGCATAATTTGGTTGTCCTTCCAAAGGCACTTCGTGGTTAGGAGCCTGGTGTTGGGGTATTTGTGGGTATTGCAAATGGTAATGATTCGGAAGCAAATGCTGGGTTGGGGGTTGTTCGGGGCCTAAAGAGTTTAGAATATGTGTTCCATGATAATCTACTTGAACTCCTGGTTGGGGATGCAAATGAGCTAAAGGATGAATGTGGTCTTGATGTATTTGACCTAAATGAATGTCTTGGTGTAAGTGACCAACGGGATGCACGTGATCTTGATGTAGTTGACCTAAGTGTACATGTTCTGGGTGAACAGCATGGGTATGATCTTGATGCAACTGACCTAAATGTACATGACCTAAGTGTACATGGTCCTGGTGACCAACAGCTTGGGCATGATCTTGATGAAACTGACCTACATGAAGATGATCTTGGTGAAGCTGACCTACATGAAGATGATCTTGATGAAGCTGTCCTACATGAAGATGATCTTGATGTAAGTGGGCTAGCGGATGAACATGTTCTACAGGATAAGGATGATTTCCTGCATGAATATGTTCCTGGAGCATAAACTTGATGGATATGATCTTGATGTAGGTGAGCTACTGGATGCAAATGACCTACAGGAACCGGTTCAGCTGTATGAATATGTCCTACAGGATGCACATGATCAACAGGATGAAGGTGAGTTACTGGAAGATGCGCTGGATGTACACTTCCCACAGGATGTACATGTTGAACTGGTGCGATATGTACTGGTGCTGGCGCAATAGGAACTGGCGATGGAACTACAGGAACAGGTGCGGGAAGAGGCAAGAACGGATGAACATGAACTGGATTTGGAACAGGCAAAACTGGATGAGGCACTAGCTGAGGTGCAGGTATTTCCTTTAAAGCAGTTGTTGGAAAAGCTGCTCCCAACGGTAGAACGCCCAGATCAGGTTTGGTGACTTCGAACAATTGTGCTGAAGGAACAAATGGAGCAGGTACAACACCTGGGTGTACTGCGTGTAGGTGAGGTGCAGCTATATGGTGAAGGTGGTTTACGTGACCAGTAGTAACATGATGAACATGATCCGTTACATGAACTGGTTGTATGTGCTCAACTTGCACGACAGGTTCTCGGTGAAGGTGGTCTATGTGAGGCACAGGATTTAAGTGCAAATGATCTGCATGAACGGGCTCAACGTGTACATGATGTACTGGCTTCACGGCGTGAATATGTTCTACATGTACAGGTTTAACTGGTTTAATAATATGTACCGGTTTAACTAAAGAGGCAACTGGTTTAATAATAGGTTTCCACTCAGGTTCTAAAACAGGTCTGAGGTGGGGAATGTGAACAATAGGTCTTTTTAGATGGAAGTGAATTTTTGGTTTGTTATAGTGATATCCTAAGTGCTTTATAGCTACTGGTCTTAAAACTGGTTTTATTTTCACCTCAGGCGGTCCATAGCCTAATACATATTTCACTGGTTTATGTTTAACCCAAGCGACGTTTTTAATAAGCGGTTTGAAGATAGTTCTCTTTTCTTGCTCTTTTATTATTTCTTCTGAGTTTTCGGTGTCCTGAAGAGGATCTAGTTCGTCTGATAGCGATGATTTTAGAGTTTCAACGTCTGCGTATACAAAAATAGCATGTAAAATCGTAAAAATTGCGATTATTTGAATCTGAAACAAAAACTTAATGTAGTAGATCTGAAAAAATTGTAGATATCTGGACGAAACACAAATAATAAATCAATTATGTTAATAGTGAAACTTAAAGAAAAATGTAAAACACTGTAATGACTGTAGATTAATCAGCTTAATGTCACACTTATTAAAAACATTTTTAAAGATTATACATGCAAGAATATTCAGAAAGTGCGAAGCAGATATGATATATCTCTGTATAGTTTCACAACTCTTGCCATAAAATGTTGAGACCAACAAAAAGATTTTTTCCTTGCGTTTATAGAGTATAAGAAAGCTTTCGACAAAGTTAAACATAACATTCTCATGGAATGTCTAAAGAAAAAAGGACTCGACAAAAATGACATTAATATAGTGAGAAATCTCTATTGGAACCAACAGGCTGAGGTAACATTAGATGGAAATAGCACGGATGCGCAAAAGATAAGTAGAGGAGTGAGACAGGGCTGAGTACTTTCACCATTACTATTTAATATAATATATTCCGAAGAGTTTTTTACGCAAGCACTTAAAAACCTGTGCCAAGGGATCAAGATAAATGATGAAAATATAAATAACATCCGTTATGCTGACGATACAGTCATTATCGCTGAAAGTGAGACAGGCCTACAGACGTTACTAAACACAATCTGTGATACTAGGGAACAGTTTGGTTTAACAATAAACATAAAGAAAACAAAAACCATGATTATCAGTAAGAGGGGTAAAGTCGTTACAAGGAAACAGATAAAAAATGAAGATATTGAGCAAGTGGACAAAATGAAATACTTAGGAGTCTGGATTACGGAAGATCTGACTCCGAAATCAGAAATTCGCTCAAGAATAGAGCAATCAAGCTGAGCTTTTTTAAAAATGAGGAAATTTCTGAGTAACCAAAGACTCAATCTGCAAATCCGATATCGGATGGTAAAATGTTATATAATAGTTATATATAATAATAATTATGGAGGGTTTATAGAAATTAATAACCAACAAGTCCAAGCACGCAAACTAGTCACTCCAGCAGAAAGACTAATTCTGTCAAACGTTTGTCCCACCATTCCGCATGCTTTACTAACTCAAGAATTAAAAAATTAAGCCTTAAAACCATCTCTCCCGTACACATTTCTCAAAATAAGCGCCGGTTTGCCGGAATTTAGCCACGTTTATAGTTTTAGGCGACAAATTGTTATCACACCATTGCTGGCCTCAATACCTGAATCCATATTAATTAATTATGATAACACCAACTCTAGGATTTTTTGTCACAAAATTCCTTGGTATGTTTTTGATGTAAAAGGCAAGGCCATACTGCAGCAAATTGCAAAACAAACCAAAAGTCAGTTTCTGAAAATTATAACCAAAACCCTCACTCTCAAACATCTTCGCAATATCCACATCTCCCCAAATACTTCTGTTTGGGAAAGTATGTGCGAATTCATTTCATATTTTTACAGTTAATATTTTATCTGTTACGGTACTGTAATGTGATCTAATTTGGTGCTGTATTTTAAAGACCTTTTGAAAATATATTGTCTTCCTGTTGTCTCGTAAAACTTTAACACTGGATATCTCATTTATGATGTTGTGAATACGGAGAATTTGGCTTCTCTTTTGTATGGTTCAAAAATATACACACAAGTGTAAAGTGTCGTGTTACCGTCACAATTAGCTAAAATTATCGGAAAGGTCGCAATACAATGGAATGATTTATTGGTACAACCTCTTCGGACCACCGCTTAGAGGGTTCCTTAGCTCTGACCATATCAACGCATTCTCACTTCTTCATAAGACAACGATCGACACGGACCTCTATATAGACCGGTCTCGTGTTATTAGCCTCGGCGCCCCAGGCCGCGGCGTCGTGATGCCCAGCGACGAATTCTTCAGCCTGTTACGAATTCATCAATAGAACCAAAGGGTAAGTCTGTTCTTTGTACAAAACAACAATAATGAGTAAACCAGTTGATTTCATAACTTATTCACAATTTATAGTTGCTATTTTCGCTAATTTTATGTACAAACAAATATTACATTTTTCGTTATAATTATTTATCTGATATAATTTAACCAGCGACCTCTCAAGTTTAATCCTAAACAACTTCCAACTAACCCCTCAAAAACTCCAACCGCACAACCAACTATCAATATAGATACAACCAAGTCCACACAAAATAATTCAAAACGCAGTTTGGAAGAAATAGTCACACCTCCTCCAGCGCAAGACGCTGATTCAGAAAACCCAAGTCTAGATCAGATTCAGAAAAACCAAAAAAAGTAAGGAAAAGATGCCAACTCACATACTCATGGAACCGGCCAAGCCATTCATCTCAGAGCAAATCCCCCCATTTATTCTTGATTTTAATCAAATATCCGATCTATTTGAAAATGTTTATGGTGCACAGGATCCAGTCAGCTCCTTTGCACCATAAATTCACACCTCTTGAACACCTCTTTGAATTGATTACAAAAAATCTGTAATAGCGGCTATCAATGCGACTTTCATTTAGTGCTTCATAGTCGTAAGCATATAGAAACATTAAAAAGATAAAAACTGGAGATGTGCTTATCTATGGTCATATATCAACACTACAGATTATTATTTTAAATAATAGGATAGTTGCAAGAAATTCCTAACAAATTAAGATGCAAACGTTATAGAAAATGCCAATAAAGAAGAAAGAAACCCAATTAAGTTATTTTTCATTAAAACCTTTCCCTAAGTCAATAACGTCGTACAAGAACGTAAAGTCTCTACATACACTGTATACTTACATATTTCGAGTTCATTTTGAAACTTGGTAATCCTAATTGAGCACCCAAAATCCAACTTACACCATCACTATCGACGTTCTAACAACCAAATACACAAATTTTACTTTCTTTTTGTTTTATATCTCGCGCAAAACGGACCTACGAGCTTTGTTTATTAATCAGATGATTAAATTACTAATTGAATAGCAATGTCATTGACAAAGAAAGTACCAACCGATTTTGGATGCAGCTTTTGCTAAATTACAAGATTCGATGACGAATATCAATGAGGTCGAGACTTTTTTGAAAAATCGAAATACTTTCACAGCTACGTTGCACTCCTAGGAATGCGATAACAATATTCATTTCTTAAGAGTTGCACTATATCTAACAGTCGATTAGAAAAAGTAGCATATACAAATTATCGAATACTACAAAAAATTTTTTTCTTTTGTTGCATGCTATGCTGATACATATAATGTTCTGTTGATTTTGCTGAGAGATTAGTTGGTCCAGTTTGCGTTTCTGGATTTGGGTTTTGTTGTCAGAAATATGTTGGGCTTTTTTGTGAGAAAGACGATCGAAGTAAGGTGCTTCATAATACTGGATGGATATTGAAAGAGTGGATGTCGTTGTAGGTTTTGAAAAGTTGGGAATTTGTCGCATCAAGTTGCGATTTTGGAATAACTTAATGGTCTCGGCACGATTTAAGGAAAGCAAGGTCATAAAAAAGACGGTATTTACGTGTTAAATGCAATCCATAAGCCCAATATTCCCCTAAGATGAATCTCAATGCTTACAATTGTCCCACTCAGAAATTGGCGAAACATTTGGCTTTATCCTTACAACCATTAGCCGAAAACGTCTCGTTCTTTGTCAAAAACTCTTTTCATTTCATTGGTCTTCTAAAAATATTTTTATTTCACCCTTAGATATACTAGTTAGTTTTGACATTGTTTCTTTATTCACCAATTATCTCTTATAAAACACTGCATGGCTAATATATACTTTTTATTAAAAAAATATTTCTATCGTCAAATAAAGGTTCCCCAATGGAATCCACCCTCTCTTCCGTAATAGCTAATATCTACATTGAACATTTCGAAACAGCAGCCCTGTCCTCATCAAATCTCAAACCCACCTGCTGCTTACGGTACGTTGATAACACCTTTGTCATTTCTCTCTCTTCAATCCTGACCCCACAGGGGGAGTGTAGTGGTCGACGTGATGTCGTGTATTGTCCGTCTCCAGAGATCTCTATCTCTGGTCATTTCTTTTAATTCATGCATAGGTCTGTAATTTGATCTATCCATTTTGTTGGAGATCTTCCTCGTGATCTTCGGCCTTCTACCTTTCCTTGTATTATGAGTCTTTCCATGTTTTCTGTGTTTGCTCTCATAACATGCCCAAAATATTTTAATTGTTGTAGATGGACTTTACTAGAGAGTCGTTGGCTAACTTTTAGCTCTCTTAAAATTGAATTATTTGTTCTACGTTCAGGCCAAGGAATTCGTAACATTCGTCTCCAACAGGACATTTCAGTGGCGTCTATCTTTCTTCTCTCCGATTGTCTCAGAGTCCAAGATTCACATCCGTAGGTCAGTATTGGGAATATTAAGCAGTTGATCAACCTCATCTTTATCGCTCTTGAAATTTGACATTCCTTCCATATTTTGGTCATTTTTGCTGTGGCAACTTTTGCTATATCACATCTACGTTTAATCTCTTCTTGTAATGACCCTGTGTTTGTGATTAATGATCCCAGATATAAGTATAAGCTCACAACCTCGAACCGGTCAATTGTGGTTATGTGTGGATGATTGTTGTGTAGTCTATCCACTATCATGATCTTTGTCTTTGATATGTTTAATTGCAGACCAAATATTTGACTTTCGTTTTCGATCAGTCGTATAAGTTCCATCAGCTCTGCTTCACTATTTGCAAGAAGGGCTGTGTCATCTGCAAAACGTAGGTTGTTTAGTTTATGACCATTTATTGAGATGCCCTTTTCCCATCCTTCAAGTACTCTTCGCATAATATACTCCCCATATATGTTGAATAATTGTGGAGATAGTATACATCCTTGTCTGACACCCCGTTCTGGATGGAACTCGAAAGTGTGTCAAGTACTTTAACTGATCCAGTAGTGTGTTCATATAGTTCAGTTATAAGCGTAATTAGATGTTGTGGTACGCCTACTTCTTTTAGTATTCGCCATAAGTGTCTCCATTTGACCCTGTCGAACGCTTTACGGTAATCTATAAAACAAATGTATAGTGGGATGTTAAATTCCCTAGATTTCTTGATTATCTATCTTATATTCAGCAGGTGTTCTCGAGTGCCTCTACCTTTGGTAAATCCAGTTTGCTATTGTGGAATTTCTCTTTGAAGGAATGTTTTCAGTCTCTCATTGATTATATGTAGCATTATCTTGCTGGCATGGGATATAAGAGAGATAGTTCTATAATTGTCGCATTTATGGAAGCTGCCTTTTTTTTTCTTTGTCATTTAGCTCCATGGTAAACACGCATTAGATATTTTCCTCTCCAACCTAAATGGAATACATCATAGTATCCAATTTACGATGGAAGTCGAGGGAGTCCAAAGCGTCTTTGTCATTCCATGATGGTCTTATTCAGAAAAACCTACCTCACAGTTGTTCCTATTCCGTGTACCCACTCATACAAACCGTTATCTCAATGCCCAGTCACATCATCACCCCGCCCAACTCAATTCAGTTATCAAAACTCTTGTTTCCTGTTCCGTAAGACTAAGCGACAACAATCACAGATCATCCAAAACCATTTTAATAAGGAAAAACTATTACAAAACAAAATCCACAAGGAAAAAAAATTCCTGTAGCTGGCTGTATACCACGTATAACAAAAAGAGGTTAATCTTTGTAAATGGGTATATTTATTTAAAAAACCCTTAAAAGGGCCACATCAATAGAACAAACGTTTTCGGACTAAACAGTCCATCATCAGTTCCACGTTGTTCTCCGAGCGCAGAGGTTGTCTCTCGCCCGGCTCTGGAACCCATTTGAGCCATGTGTTACCTTTGGTCAAATTTAATTTAATATAGAACATCACAGTTATTTTATAACACAATGTACAACATTTAATAACTAAATGTAATTTAAAGGGTTTTTACCCTAATATTTTGGTGGCTCAGGCATTATGACCTAGCATTTTCGATTTTAATAACCTGATGATGGACTGTTTAGTCCGAAAACGTTTGTTCTATTGATGTGGCCCTTTTAAGGGTTTTTTAAATAAATATACCCATTTACAAAGATTAACCTCTTTTTTTTTTTTTTTTTTTTTTATTACAAAACGGCTACCACAAAACTCATATCAATAGGAGCATTCAAAAACATCTAAATTTCATTTCATCCAAAAAAGAAACCTTGCCATCGAATCAGCTCAAAATCTTTCTTTTAGTAAATATGCCGCAGACAAGATCAAATTCAGTATATTCTTATCCCTCTAAACATCAAAACCATCTTTACTACGCACTTCAAGTTGTCCAATCTTGTCAGATCCATAAAACACCAAATCCACAATGAAGACCAAGGTGTCTATGAGTTACTTGTTCCAGTTAAACACGTACATACATAGGACAGACAAACCGACAAATTCATAACCGTATTTACGAACATTCTATATCATTCAAACATTTCGATACTACTTCAGCCCTAATCCAACATCATATTGAGACATATAAAGGCCACAAAGTAAATTTCGAAAATAAACAAAGTAAAACAAGTTTGGAGCCAATTTTAATGAGATATTGTTCCAGCAAGACGAAACTCCAGCTCATTTTGGTGTAAACGTTCGGCGTTATTTAGATTAGACATCTAACGGACGATGGATTGGTGGATTATGCTATTAAATGGCCTGCTCTTTCGCCCGATTTGAAATCTAAAGATTATTTTTATTGAGGATACTTGAAACGTAGAATTTATAAAACTAAACCTGCAAGTGTTGCAGAGCTAAGGCAAAAAATTATCAATGAATCCATATTAATTTCTAAGGAAACACGGATAAATGTAGACATGCTACCATTCCAGTCAAACCAGCTTTGACTTATCAGTAAAAGCAGTAAAAGACTTCAGAGTTTTTAAGTTTTTGTTAAAACTTGAGTAGTCCATGTTGGAAAGCTATGAAATTTTGTATGTGGTTTACAGGAATGATTGCCTATGCCATACCAGAGGCTTTGAATTGTACAAACATTTTAAAGAGGGTAGGAAAGATATTGAAGATAACGAGCGCCGAAGACGGCTTGTAACGTCAAAATTGAACCTTGTAAAAGTGATCAAACTGTTTAAAAATATTGTCGTGTCGTTTAAGTATTAGAGCCATTGCTGGACATGTGGATATTGCAAGAACTTTTTATTATGATTCTGAAACTAAGAGGAAGTCTATTTAGTCGAAAACTCAAAACTGTTTTAGAGTTAAAATAGCGAAGATAAGCAAGTCCTCCTTGAAGGAAATCATGATTGTTTTCTTTGATATATGGGATATAGTTCATATGAAATAGGTACTATAAGTTAAGAGGCTATCTCAGTATTCTTAGATCCTGCTGGACCGCTCTAAATCCTCCTAGTTGTTGTTTCGGCCGTCTGTGCAACATTCTTAGGTTTTTATCATAGTCTTTTAACTTATTTAATATTCTGTTAAGATGGTTTCTGAGGTCGTTGAAAATCTCGCATACTCTCTAGTCTGTTGTTCATAAGATCTTGTTTTGGTTTGAGTCTCTATATACGTACATTAACGGTACGTATTTTGGTATTCCCAGCGCTTCTCTGATTATGGAGTTTTGTTTGTCCCCCATACTGCAAAGGCAAACTCTAATGTTTGCAGGATAATGCTGTTTGCAACTCCAATCTTTGTTTTGAACCCAAGCTTATTTTTCCGGCCTATTAGCCAAGAAAGTTGACTCCTTAATGCCTTGGTTTTGTAGACTGTTTGGTTTACATGTTCTGTAAACGTCAGCTTTTTGTCAAACGGTATGCTTAGGTATTTAGCTTGGCT